TCAAAGACCATTTTGCTTAAAGTGTTCGTGGAGTCACGTTGTATTGACTGGTGGCTAACTCGTTTCCATGATTTGGGTGAGTTGAGCGGACTTTCTCAAACCATTGAGAAGATGGTACGATAAGTCCGTCTCCCTCTGTGAACACCATCAAATTCCTCTCTGAGTAGTGGCCGAGCAAAACTGGTGAGTTATAGCGCATCCTCTATAAGATTTTTTTTCATGGTTAGTTTTTAATGCAATGACGGGATGAATTTAAAAGTGCAAATTTTAATTCGGTTAACTTTATGCGGTTCTGACAACTTAGAAATATGCTAGGGTTTGAAACAGTGCATTTGGAACATGCAGCGAAACTTGTAAGATCCTATTTGAAATTATCTGCATTCCATTATTTTATGCGAAGATTTAAAGAAATTGAATTTGTCAGCTACATATCTTTCAAGCTGTTGTATCTAATAGGTCGTTGTGATTTCTTTTTGCCTTTGTTTTACACGCAATCGCATATCTTTAGGCAACCAGATTTGAAAATTGATTCGCGCTTGCAATAATTGCCCCTTTTTTTTCTCTGAGATTTAAACTAAGCTAATGTATAGCTAATTTCTCCTTTAGGATTCTGCAGTTGCTTTTAGCTTATACCCTCGTTCATTAAGCATTATTGTAGGACTTTCCTCAAGGCAACGTTTCTTCATGGTTTAATGTCGCAAAAGGTGACCGGGCTGCTTTTTCTATATACAGACAGAAAGAAAACCGTTAGCTTATCATGCACGGAAATCTCCGCGCTATTATCTCACTGTTTGGGAGTAAGAATGTATGTCTGCGTTAGAATATGTTGCATTGTTTCATTTGTAAATTCTTGCGTTATATCGTAAGTGCGCTACGAAACCAGACAGTTTATCGTGGTTTTCTGCCAACCGCATTGACCCTAGAAAAAAGCGTTATGCCAAGGGCCAAACTATCAGGGTTGGGAAAGTTTCCTACGGTTTGTCAAGTTATTTGTTGTTGCAGTTTGAAGAGTCGTTGATGAATAAAACGATATGATACCTTAACGTTTGCAAGAGTGGTAAAAGCGGTAACCATCAAACAAAGAAGTAACTATTGCAGGGCCCGCGCCACGAATTTTAAAGTGGGTCCAATGCTAAAATGTAGGGGGCCAAGGCTTCTTACCCCTTTATTTGCAGTTTTAAAAGTACTTGCTTCGCAAAAAAGTGGGGGGGGGGGGGCGTGGCCACTGTATTGCTCTGTTTTCCATTACAATCCCAACATGAATAAACACTCCAAACATCTTTATATTAACAAAAAGTGATTATGTCATTTGCGTAAAGGACGGAGAATAATTAGATTAATATATGAATCATCCAATAATTATGCAGATGTTTGGTCACTTTTGCAATCGTCCCATCTTGATAATGTACATAACCGTCACTCATTTCCTTTATGCCGTATCTAAGCCGTATGCCCCTCTCGCTCGCATAAGTGCTCATATTTAATCTTCCTAGTGCGATTGTGGATTTATCTTATATAACTAGATCTGCTCCTCTTTATGCTCGGAATGTGTGCTGGTGCGCTAACATTCAGCTCAGCGCGCTCACTCTCTTCTCCCCTCATCTATTGACCTCGCCACATGTGGCTCCATTCTCCCTAGCTCTGCTCACCATTAACTCAGTACATCTTTATCGTTCGATAGCGAGCACGCTATAACTCATCAAATTAATTCGTGCATTCCCCCCCGCCATTTTCTATGAGATATTTTAACGTTCTACCTCATACTCATATACTCTGATTGAGACCTCTCTGCAGTCATTCTCTCTGATATATACCATCCTCACATTCCTGCATATACTGCTTTCTGAGATGTCTAGGGTTTACTGAATGCTCTCACGTTGCAAGCTCTTGATGTACTCGATGCGCTCTCACCTACATATCGCGTGTAGAGTGGTGGTGGGCGTGATATTCTGCCGTCGTTGTGCGGTTTCACATCTCTGGAATGTATGATCTCCTCTACGCGTGTGGTCCGTGTTTGCGCTCTTTTATGCTCTCTTACCCATAGGTTGATGAAGTGGTGACTACGTGCCACCCTCCGTAACACACTATTGGTTCTATGTAAGTTCTAGACATGCTCATCTACCGACAAGATCTAATTTAGAATAATTTACTCTCCAATATGTAGATATCCACATGCGCCTTGCATACATTCATGTACCTGCCTCACCAGTGGCTCTCTCTTATAATTTCTGTGTGTGTGTTCAATCTCTTAGCTTCCGATACCACTAGTCTTATCCGTGATCATCCCTCACGAGCAACGTTTGGTTTAATAAACCTGTGAGTTCCAAAATTCTACCCACTTTTCCATCATGGTGTGTACTATATATATATATCTGTTGCTTATCACTGAGTTTGCCTATTATTGTTCTCCGTTAATAAAACTTGAAAACCTCTTGAGTGGATCATTCTGCGAAACCGCGCCTGTGCGTCATTAAGTCTAGCTCTGCTGCTCATCCGCACCTCTCGGAAGTGTCAGGTCTCTGCTATCCTTCGCGCACATGCTGTGTGAGTCCCTAATGCTATAAGCTCTCGCTCACACCATACATATATACGACCGTTCTCTCTCCTTAGCGACTTCTGCGAGATGCGATATATGGATGTGCGATATATAGGCCGATCGGACCTCGTGTCCCCCGATACCTGGTCCCGTGATACAGACGTGGACTCCAAGTTATCTTCGCCTTCGAAAAGATATTAACAACTATGAAGGTCCTTCCGCACACCTAAGCGCACTTACCTCCTTCAATCAGCGCGCTCTACGCTCTGCGGCGGTTCGAACACGCTGGAGCTTACTGATGACCTCCTCATAGTGCTCTCGCTTATATATATATATAATAATGTGATGAGCCTCTCGTAGCATTTATGATAGGATAGGTTCTCACCTGGTGTGTGTGTGTGGTGTTGGGTCTATGCACCGGCCAGCCTCTCTATATATACTTAGCCCCGAACAGGCGCGAGACCACCTCATCTCTTGTCCAAGTACACACAGATCCATTCCTACCTCGAGTCCTCACTGCCTCTCTCCTTCTCGAGCGCATATATATATGTAATAAGCTATATATAGATATACCTCTCTGAGCAATCCCTTGTGTTGGAACAGTCTCAGTGCCTTTTGGTATGCCCTCTTTCTCTGCTCTCTCCTTTTCGCTTATTGCAGTACGGATATCAGTTTTTGATTCCTCGTAGATCAAGCTCCATAAGTCTCTGTCTCAAGAGCGCTATGCCTCATGCACGTCCTCTCCGCCGTAGTACAGTATCTTCTCAGACCTCAAATGGCGACGTCATTGTGTGTGTAGTACCATTATATCTCCTCTATCCAGGCAGACATACGGTAGCCCCCTCATTAGCTCTCTGAGCACACGTGTATTAATCATAGACCTGTGATCTTAGATTAGGAGCAAGCCGATATTGAACAGCACTTCCGAGAGCTGTGATCATATGTCTGTCCGCTGTGTATACATATCCTTCTCAGCTCAGTCTACTATAATACTCCCATAC